CAATTATTCCGAATGGTGTAGCTGTTTTTACACACTTCATATGACACCCGCAGCCACTTGATTATTCTCCCAGCATGTAGATAAAGCATAGAGTAGCCAACAAATCATGGGATTTTTCATGAAGTGAAAAGTGAGGCTATAGAAAGTAAATATGATTGCGGTCGGATACCATTCGTGTCTTAAGGCTTAGTGGATTTTACTAACGCAGAGTTCCCTGCTCTGACGATGTCTATGACATGACAATTGATAGTCTAAAACGAATGCAGCGGGGTGGCGGTACAATGCGCCAAGGGATTAATCGCATAAAACTTTAGTCACAATTCCAAGGATCCTCCCAAGTTTTCCAGTGGGACCCATTTATAAATCCCTTTCACTCGTCTCGTGAAACAAAATAAAAAGTACCCTTGCATCATTCTGTTTAAAAAATTTTAACCCAGCTTTTCTGCATTTGGTTAAGCAAGGTTGCATTCCGTCAAATTAATCGAACATATATGGATAAATAGGAGATTTAAAATATAACACCTTTACTCTTATTGTCTTTGGTCGTCGGTCAGCTGAGTTGGCAGCTTCCTTCAGTTGTCCCATCATACGGACGCGGTCCGCCTCTAACCGATGGACGCGCTCTAGAGCATCTAAACGTTCTTTCTCGCAGGCTTCGAGGCGAGCTCGCAGCCGCGACTGTCCGGCTTGCCACCGCGACTCACGGCGTGACAGTTCAGCCTGAGCCTCGAAAAGCTGGGTTGATGAGACAAAATATGGGTACATAATCACAGGTAAAGTCAGCAAGGAGATAAGGATCATCAACAAGCTAAAAAGAAGAGCTTGGGTGTATGAGAATAGGTATTGTTATTATTATTTCAAAAGTAATAATAGTTGAAAATAACACGGAGAAAATTAGGAGGAAATGGAAGAATTAAATAATATTAATGAACTCAAAAAATGTATTATTCTTTACAAGGGATATTTTCACAATCACCGCGTTTTAAAAATAAAGGTAGACACAAAGGAAATAGAGCAAAGTATGGAAACTAAATGCAATTTGCGCTGCCTAGGCCAGGGTTGGAAATATTTGAATTATGATGTAAAATAAGGATACAAAATGATCTTGAAGAGTGCATCTAGCAATAGAAATGTTTCGAATGAAAAGGGCGCAACATCTACATTTTAGTCAGTTGATGGTACAGCGAGGAAATAAATTCTAAAGTGTCCAAGAAAAGGTAATTCTCAAGGGCTAATCAAAAAACGTCGAGTTGCAAAATACCGAGGAGTTGCATGATGGTTAGGAATAAAAAACTGTTGTTGGTGTCAGATATAACAGAAATCTGGTCAAAGAAGGAGATGATACCCGCGAATGTTGTTGCTTCCATTTGTAAGGCACATCGCTGGTGAATTGTATGATTTAATCCATCTGGCGAAACTTAAGTGGAGAATACTTGTCTGAAGCGATCTTGGAAGGCCCACGAAAAGGTTTGTAGTCTAATCATATGCCTGAGGTATTTTACTGACGAAAGGCTAAAC